GCTTTGGGTAAGACAAGAGGTTTTAGATGCTTTTGCTATAGATTAAAATGATTGATTATTTTGCTTTGCGATTTACTTTTAATTTTTAATTAATTATACAAGCATACATACGTAATACATAAGTACCATAAATATGTACAGGTGAAGGGAATTCTGTAATGAAATACATTATCATATAACGGAGATACAGATACCTAAAAATATTACTTTGATTAATACCTGTGTAATAATACTCACGTCTCTTTCTTGTAATACACAAGGCAATAATAATTCGAACCACTTGCAAAATTATGTTTACATAAATATTTTAAAAACAATTGTTGTAATCACTTTATTATTGTACCATTGTTTTATTTAATAAAGCTCTATCAGGAATGTAATGCGTCATTAATTTTCTAAAATAACCCCCTTTAAATTCTAGACCGTTGGATCAATATATACTTCATTCACTTTCTCTAGCGATATACTCCTTCCAATGTCTTAGATGTGCGCTGGCAAAATCGTAGGTAGGAAGTAAAAGGCTCATTATACTCTCGACTCTTGTTCATTAAACATACTTTTGCATACAGTACCTGCCAAAAGTTTTGTTCAATCATGAATAGTAGTGCGAGTCGAAAACAAGCGTTAAAGCCTTTAATACGTCTTCAAATATAAATAAACATCTCGTTGATATTTTCAGTAGTAAATAGTACCAATAACATAACATTTGAGCAATGCAATTGTAGTGAACGAAATGGTCAATTTTTCCGTGCAGTACTGTACGGATTATACGCTCCTCATCGGTTAAGAGTTTGGCCGAGAGTTGTCTCCTTCCTTTTCTGGCCTAGTGCTGTTCTATTCTACTTTGCGCCGGTCAAACTGAAGGTCACATCACTACAGAAAGTAAACGAAGTATAGTTACTTTCAGGTTGGTTTTTCTCCAAAGAATTGTCTTCGATTAGTGACTGATTGTGCTTTCCTACATCAAAATCCCCATAATGAAATTGGTCTAAACTTTTCTCACAAAACCTGTATTTTTTAGGAGCGGATAAGAACAAAAGACTGCAAGAGACCGGTGAAACCGAAAAGCATCACATTTGTCCGAACTGTGGTCCTTCAAAACAGTACAAAACGAAAGGATCGTTGAGAAGACATTTAAAGTACGAATGCAAAGTTGAGCCACAGTTCCCGTGTTTTGTATGTCACAAACTCTTCAAGCACAAACATAATTTGCTAACACATTTCATAGTACACGACACAAATTAAATACATATGTATGTATTATAAATGTATATAAGGGTGTATTTGTATTTTTATTGATATCTTTGTTCTCGTAGGTTCTGAGTAGAATAATTTCTCCTAGAAGTAAAACTGGTAGCTTATGCCTGTGAACAACGTAATTGTGTCAATTTAATTAGTTTTATGGAGAATTGAATTAAAAAGATTAGTACCACTAGATTAATACAGGTGTGATTTACGTCGGTACTTTTGGGAGAACTATTCGAAGCCTAAAGCTAATTTAGAAACCGACTAAGAAATTAGAGAATAATTTTGTACTGATGGTCGATATACATGTATGTATTATGGTGTCTACTGAATAAAATTTGGTAATAAAATCTTTAGGTAAATCCATTATTTTATCGAACCCAGTTATATAATACGTTCTTCAAATTTCTCCCTTGTTGTTTCCGAATTATTTATCCAATAAAGATAGACGCTTTTGATAAGTAACCTTCGGGTGCGATTTGACAATTATTATTTTCTAAGATATTTTTTATTTCAGTTGTTTTGTTACCCACCGGCAGGAGGACTACCCTAGTGACTAATAAGCCACACAAATGTACCAGATGTTCAAAGTCGTACAATTACAGAGGAAATTTGTTCAGACATATGAAGTACGAGTGTGATAGAATTGCAAAATTTTATTGTCCTCTCTGTTTTAAACCATATACTCAAAGTTCATCTGTCCGTTATCACATGAGGACTCATCATCCCGACAAGTTTGAGGAGTATGTAGGACAAAAGGGTAGTGTAGTGTTTTCAATGGAACCAGGAACTTCTGCCAAAATGAATAATAATAGACATGACAGAGAAGACGATGGGCTAATACAGTAAACAGAAAAACAAATTAAAGTTAATAGATCGAGATCAATGAGAAATAGATTTGATTTTTGAAAATGCTTTTGTACGTTATACAAGAAAGCATTGTGAATAAGTGTATTAAACATGATTAGGTTGGGCTCGATATAGAATGCTTATGTTTGTTATGTTTTGGGGTTAATATTGTGTGCAATGCTTCATTTATTGCACTGGTATAGATAAGTGTTTCCCATGTAGTTTTATTTTAGTAAGAGTAAGACTTTATCTCATTATGCAATTTTTGTGTGTTTATTTTAATTTTAATGTCTTGGTGTACATATTTCATAATTAAGAAAGTGCCATTACAATAGTACCCAAAAATAAGGCTACCAATTAAGACCATTTAAATTTTAAATACAATTATAATTAGTATTTTTTCATAATTAAGCATTATAAAAAGGCGAATATTTTGTGTGTTTATATTGTTTACAATTTTGTAGTTTTTTTGTAACTTCACTTGTCTGTCTGAAAACATATTTATAACATATTCAATTTCGTGTTTAATTTTCTTCTACACATTGATTCCTTTCTCAAATGAAGCTCTGGTCTTTCTTCTTGTGTTTTGTACTCCTGCGTACTACATGTAGTAGTGGCTTTGCTTACTGCTCATTTACTGAGACAGATGTTTTCAGATTGCTTTCCATGTCCATGTTGCGGAAAGTTTTACAAAAGATTTGGAACCTTGAAGAGGCATCAGAAATTCGAATGTGGAAAAGCGCCAACTCGACGTTGCCCCCACTGCGATTACGCCACATATTATAACAATGATTTAGTGAAACACGTTTTCAGAAAACACCAAACGACTTATCCCCATACTTTTCAATAGAAATATTTCAGAGGATGAATAAAACCAGTATTCAGTTTTTTACATTATGTAGAATGTTCCTTTTGAAAACACCGACGGAATTGTGGTTCAAATCTTCATGAGTATAGTACAGTCGAAATAAGAAGGCAAAGTTCCCAATAAATAATGCACACTAAAGGCATATCGTTTTTCTCGTTCTTACAAACGGTAGATATCCTGTCTTTATTTTCTAGACACGCCTCCTCCACAGCTGCGTCGAGACCTGCACCTACGTTTCATAAGAATCAATCGAATAAAATGAGACGATCGACACCATGCTCGTCTTGTCATTTGTACCTACATAAAATGGGCAAATTTACAGGGTCGGCTTAATTTAGTTGGTGTATTTGTGCGAATAGTCATCTCTCTACATATATCGTTTAAGTTATTTTTTTGTTGTAACTATTGTTGTCGTTGTTTTTGTTGGTGTTATTGTTGTTGTTATTGTTGTTTTTATTGTTATTTTTGTATGAGAATTTGTATCAATATGAAATACAGTGTTGCACGATTAAAAGAACAATAATATTTTTAGATGTGTGGGTATGTATGAATACAGACTCATTCAGTCTGTTTTGATGTACAATCGAAATTATATAAATATTATTGCATTGAATTATCTTACAATAACTTTTTCACCATACTGTAGCACGACTACTACCTAAGCCGATCCTGTAAATTTGCTCATTTTAATGTAGGTACAGACAACAAGACAAGCACGTTTTCAACCGTCTCATTCTGTTCGATTGATTCGTATGAAACGTAGGTGCAGGCCTCGACGCAGCTGTGGGGGAGGCGTGTTTAGAGAGTAAAGACAGGATATCTCCCGTTTGTAAGAACGAGAAAAACGATATGCCTTTAGTGTGCATTATTTATTGGGGACTTTGCCTTCTTATTTCGACTGTATTATAGTACAGTAGCTGCACTTTAGTGTGACACAAAAGCAATAAAAGTTGTTGTTACTGTTCGAACGGACGAGAGACTAGAAATCTGTAATGAGTGGTTGGAAAAATTCAATCAATAATTGTTTAAATAAATGCCATACTTTGTAAAGTGTTGTAGTTTTCTTTTAAACAATTGTTTCTTTTAGAGTTTTTTTTTGTTTTGTACCTAATTGCGTTTTTAATTGTGCTTTTATAAATTGATGCGATAATTAATTTTGTATTTTTCTTCTAGAATACGACGGACCGTATACCTGTGAAATGTGTTTAAAAGTGTATAGTTATAAAACAAATTTAACGAGACACGTACGTTTCGAATGCGGTAAAAATGCGGCTTTTCACTGTCTACACTGCAATTATTCCTGTAAACAGAAAGGAAACCTGAAACGTCATATGTCTAGAAGACATTCCAAGAGTGATTGAATGTGCATTTATAGTAAACATAGTTTAGATTTAACGATTTTTTTCCAAAACTGTGAAATAGAAATACATTCAATAAAGCGCATATAGTTGTTTTTTTCTTTTTACATTAAAACTCTCTGTGAATATTTCATGTTGGAGGTAAATTATTCTGGATAGGGTCTTGTTAAGGTGGGTATACACTAGCCAAGCAAGAGCGAAGTGAAAAGCTCATTGTGAGACGATATTAAAAAGAAAGTAAAGTATAAAGTGTAAACCATATATACCGTACCCCAAGAATTCCGTTGTTAATAAAATTCGTGAATTGTTTTTAATTGTTATTATTCATAAACAGTTCAAGGGGTAGATTAACATTTACAGGAGAATTTATGCATGAATAAACGAACGAAGCTTTCTTTGAAATTAATGTTTCTGATATTTCTGTACGTTTTAGGTCCACTGTTTGGATGCCCGAATTGCAAAAGGAGCTACAAATATAAATACAACATGTTCCAACATTTACGAATGTGTGGCAAAGAACCACAATTTAAATGCAATGTTTGTAGTAAAGTCTTTAGGTGGAAGTCCTCTTTGCAAACACATTTATTTCTAACGAAACATTATACTTAATTTGTTGCATTTACCTGTGTATTTAAAGTAGGTACATCAATTAAACTTTATTCTTACCGTCCAATGCATTTTAAACTGTCTATAATAATAATGTGGTTGAAATTACTAAACTAAAAGTATCGAAATAACAATTATAAATGGTAACAGACAATTGTGTAATAATTTACAAGTGGTACGAGGAGTCGGTTGATTTCAAGATCAATCCGATATCCAATGTTTTTTTTGTGAAGAGAACCTTAATGTGTTCACGGAGAAATAAATGAGACATTTTCTTGTTCGCAACATGAAAATGTTTAATATGTGGTGACCTGTTGTGCGTTGCATTTGTGTTTAAGTTACAATCTGAAGAAGTATTATGTAATTGTGATCCGCCATCTTCGATGCTGTACATGGTTGCTTGCAGAGGTACTGCGGCCACGCGTCTAGCCCTTCACTTTGACATTTATTACGAATATTGCAAGACCGATTTAGAACATTAAACGAAGAGGAGCACACCAAATAGGTTAAAGCACGAACGAAGAACTGAAGAGGAATATTCCAGACTGTTTTAGTTTCCTTTTAGGATTTCCTCTACGTATATCTTATGATCCAAAAGTAACTTTAGAACTCATTGAGTTATAAAAGAATAGATTTTATCATTTGAGTGCAGCACAAAGTGTAAAACCTACTAATAAATTGTTTGTAAAGAATCATAGTTATTATGATTGTAATTAATTTTATATAAAATCCTTCCTGTGAATAATAGGAATTACACCCTTTTTCTTTTTGTACTTTCATTTATGTTATCTAAGAATAATAATTTTTGTATTAAAGAAAATGGTTTTTAGGGTACCGTAGATCGTATTATAAGGACGATAACCCATTTAATTGCGAGAAATGCAGTCATAGATTCAAGTACAAACACCATCTAACAGCTCATCTAAAAGAATGCGGGTTTGACCCGCCCCTAAAGTGTTACTTTTGCGGATACAAAACGCACCGTAAATATAATTTGAAGACCCATCTGCTTACCAAACATTCTAACATGTACCAATAAACTTTGTATTATGCATGTATTATCTACTGCTAATAAATAAATACATGTTTATTAAATTCACGCAATAAATTGTAGTTAANAGAAGCAAGAGTTCTGTACCAGAGACTATTCTAATTCATTTGAAGCATTATGTTTGTGTTAATGTGATAAATATATTTTTTGTTCAATAAAAAAATTGCTTTTAACAATCAGTTTTCAATTGCATATATTATCAAAAAATAGTTAGTGTAAAAGAAAACATTATACCAAGTAAATACAAGTGGTGAAAACAGGTGAAATGCTCCGTTATAAAGACTTACGTTAGTTAATAACTCGGCAATCACTTGCATAGCCTAAACATTACATTTTATAATATGCTGATCATTGATTCTTTATTTAATTTTTCTTTAAGGTGATGAAAATATTGGAAGAAGGACGTGTGAACTTTGTGGAAGGTCGTACGCCTATTCAAGCGGTTTATCAAGACACAAGAAAAATAACTGTGTTACATCCCGAAATAAGTACACGTGTTTCAGGTGTAATCGATTATTTAGTGATGGTTCCAGTTTACTTCGTCACGTCAAACAGCGAACTTGTATTCGACAATTAACTCATGATAGTTCCTAATTATATCATTAAAGTTTGTCTTATTTATTTGTTTTTTTATCCTGTGTCTCTTCCAATCCCAAATCGATTAATTTCTAATTTTTATTTTTGTTTAACCCTTAGTCGTCAGATGATAAACTATTTAAAATGCAATTTATAATAATTGTAGTTTAGTTTTCTTGTTTAAAAAAAAAATAAAATTGCTCACAGTAAATGCTGTCATTTATTTACACTACATCCGGATTAGATCCGGTGCCTGACGGATCTAACATATGTTTTTGGGTTCCAGTCGGGTATCAGATAATGACGCTGGGTACTCGACAGTGCCGAGTAATTCTACCAGAGAAAAAAGCTACCCGATAAAAATTGAAGTTAAAATTGTATTGGAATTGATTGATTGTTTGCCTTAATTCGTATTATTTATTGATTACTATGCTACATTATTTTTTATTTTGATATAGTTCTTCTTTACTTTTCCTCATGAACAAAAATACATAAGTACGACCGAACTATTCCAATTGCTGGTATGTCACTATGGTTTTGTCACCTTACAGAATTTTAGTGTTTATGAACAGTATCGGCTCGTTTTAACGGTTTCAACTCAACCCTCTCCTTGAAAAACTACCACCAAAAATTAAAATTCCATTGGCTTAGTGTTTTAAGAAGACATGAACCATTAACCCCAGTGGTTCTGCCGTGTATCCGGCCGGGTACGCGCCACAGCTACCCGGTTTACCCGGTACTCGGCAAAATCACTATCCGGTACATCTCTGCTTTGGATGCACCTACATATAAATAGGGAACTGAAAGGTATTTAAAACTTCTCAAGATGCCGTGTAAATTCGAACAGTGTTGTGAAGCAGTGCCCCAATAAATAAATTTTTGCGAAAGTTTATATTTCTTTTTTTTTTAATTAATATGGTCATCAAGTATAGATCAACACTATTATTAGTCGAGTATATTTTTTAAGTTGTTTTATGCAGTAAATCATTAGATATTATTATCATACAAAATTGTGTCTATTTATCAGTGAGTTCTACTTACTTCAATATTTTTAGGTACATTGAAATACCATTGCGAACAATGTGGAAAAAGCTACAGAAGGGAAATGGATCTTAAAAAACACGTGCTAAGTTGTTATTCTTTGTTCAAATATCGATGCAAGTTGTGCGGTTTCAGTTCCCAAAGACGCGATTATATTAATCAACATTACAAATCTCCAAGGCACATTAATGCAGTGAAGGAAGGGGTGAAGTTTGAATAATTTCTAACGACTTATATTACTTTTGTTGGGATTTTGAAAAATAAAGAATATGAACGAATACATCAGCAGCTTTTNTTTTTGTGAAGAGAACTTTAATGTGTTCACGGAGAAATAAATGAGACATTTTCTTGTTCGCAACGTGAAAATGTTTAATATGTGGTGACCTGTTTGTGCGTTGCATTTGTGTTTAAGTTACAATCTGAAGAAGTATTAGGTAATTGTGATCCGCCATCTTCGATGCTGTACATGGTTGCTTGCAGAGGTACTGCGGCCACGCGTCTAGCTCTTCACTTTGACATTTATTACGAATATTGGGGTCATTGCAAGACCGATTTACAACATTAAACGAAGAGGAGCACACCAAATAGGTTAAAGCACGAAGAACTGAAGAGGAATATTCTAGACTGTTTTAGTTTCCTTTGAGGATTTCCTCTACGTATATCTTATGATCCAAAAGTAACTTTAGAACTCACTGAGTTATAAGAGAATAGATTTTATCATTTGGGTGCAGCACAAAGTGTAAAACCTACTAATAAATTGTTTGTAAAGAATCATAGTTATTATGATTGTAATTAATTTTATATAAAATCCTTCCTGTGAATAATAGGAATTACACCCTTTTTCTTTTTGTACTTTCATTTATGTTATCTAAGAATAATAATTTTTGTATTAAAGAAAATGGTTTTTAGGGTACCGTAGATCGTATTATAAGGACGATAACCCATTTAATTGCGAGAAATGCAGTCATAGATTCAAGTACAAACACCATCTAACAGCTCATCTAAAAGAATGCGGGTTTGACCCGCCCCTAAAGTGTTACTTTTGCGGATACAAAACGCACCGTAAATATAATTTGAAGACCCATCTGCTTACCAAACATTCTAACATGTACCAATAAACTTTGTATTATGCATGTATTATCTACTGCTAATAAATAAATACATGTTTATTAAATTCACGCAATAAATTGTAGTTAATAATTATGAATTTATTTCGCCAGTTTATTTTCAGGGGGATACAGCAATGATAAACTATTTAAAATGCAATTTATAATAATTGTAGTTTAGTTTTCTTGTTTAAAAAAAAAATAAAATTGCTCACAGTAAATGCTGTCATTTATTTACACTACATCCGGATTAGATCCGGTGCCTGACGGATCTAACATATGTTTTTGGGTTCCAGTCGGGTATCAGATAATGACGCTGGGTACTCGACAGTGCCGAGTAATTCTACCAGAGAAAAAAGCTACCCGATAAAAATTGAAGTTAAAATTGTATTGGAATTGATTGATTGTTTGCCTTAATTCGTATTATTTATTGATTACTATGCTACATTATTTTTTATTTTGATATAGTTCTTCTTTACTTTTCCTCATGAACAAAAATACATAAGTACGACCGAACTATTCCAATTGCTGGTATGTCACTATGGTTTTGTCACCTTACAGAATTTTAGTGTTTATGAACAGTATCGGCTCGTTTTAACGGTTTCAACTCAACCCTCTCCTTGAAAAACTACCACCAAAAATTAAAATTCCATTGGCTTAGTGTTTTAAGAAGACATGAACCATTAACCCCAGTGGTTCTGCCGTGTATCCGGCCGGGTACGCGCCACAGCTACCCGGTTTACCCGGTACTCGGCAAAATCACTATCCGGTACATCTCTGCTTTGGATGCACCTACATATAAATAGGGAACTGAAAGGTATTTAAAACTTCTCAAGATGCCGTGTAAATTCGAACAGTGTTGTGAAGCAGTGCCCCAATAAATAAATTTTTG